GAAGAATTCAGATGCGCGTTAGTATTTCAACAATGTAGCATAATATTTCTTTTCAAGGAAATGTTTGAAAGGTAGATGAAAAAACCTTCGAGTCTGTATTATTTTTAAAAATTAAACCTTTTGTTCAATGATATAATAGGAGACAATTTTGATTATTTTTAAATGATCTATATATTTTGTAAAGTTATTCATAGCATACAATGGGAAATCATTTGGAAGTAGAATCATAAGTAATGTACAATTGAATAAAATTTGTATATTTCGAAACCAATATGTTTTGGACTGGTATAAAAAAAAAAGTCATGACAATTGTTATAATTATTGTAATTATACAGATTAAAGGGTTTTAACATTCAGAGAGTATTAAAGTACATTTTGAAATGAATGTTATTATTTATTATTTAAATAAATTTACATATTTATTTCAAAAAAACCTTTTTATTAAATTCTATATGATATTTTTCAAGTAACGATTAGTTTCCTTCACCACAACTGCTTATGGCTATTTTTGCAGTGAAAAAATTTTTGAAATTCCATCGACGTTGGATACTGAAGAACACGAAAATTCTTCTCAAGAAATTTTTTTTCAATTTCATGTTGTTAATGAATTTTCGTGTACACACCAAAGTTTTACAGACAGATAAAACATTATGTTGAGACAGTATTTTTTCTTCAAAAAATTTGAAATTATTTGAAAGTTTTGTCAATAAAAATGCTGATAATTTTCTCCAAAGTTTATCAAATATATTCTTCAGAAAATTTCTTCAGAAAATTTTCATGGAGTTTAACTTTTCTTTTAAAAACGACTAATGAACAAGTTCTGTGAATGTTTACTTTACAATTTGAAATTTTCTTTCAAAAAGTTAATTATTCCCAAGATGTTTACCTAAGGTTTTCATCATTTTGTAAAGTTATTTGACAAATTATTTTTTTTTAAACTCCTGTGCATTCTTTACTGGTTTTTGCAAAATCATCTGCAAAATGATCCGTACAACTAGCATCATTAGAAGGAGCATAGTTATAGATTTGTGTAGAAATATTTACAAAATCTCCAAAAGTGAATTATGCATAGTCACTTCATGAAAAAGAGGAATAAAAAATGAAATTGTTTGTCATCGTGAGTTCATTAGTTGTATGGTGAATAAGAAAAGTTTTTAGAAGGAAATCCCCTTTCTTCTTTTGGTCCACAACACAACAATTAGACACGTCTGGATATTGTATACTATATAATATAACCAGTTAACTAATGATTACTTTTACGTGCAATTACGTCTGTACAGTGGTAGTAGGTTCTATCGTTTGATGCATTTACCTGAGAAGATGATGGATGTTTTTTTTTCTTCGCTCGAAGAGTTATAATTTTGAAAGAAAAATTTTTCTACCGGAAAATTCAATTAGACCATAAATTAAACCATCAAAGAACCCGCTGTTGCGTATCTGTATACTTATAAAATTATAAAAAATAGAAACTGAACCGGCCAATATCAAAAGAAATTTAATTTCTTTAGTAAAAAAATGCATTTCTTCCATTCTAATTTACTCAAATGAATTAAAACTTTTTTGTTTTTCTTTCTAAACCACTGAAACTGACCATTTTTTACATCATACAATTAGCTGTTACATCACTAATATTCATAATTTTTTCTATATAGTTCAGTTGATTTTATACAGCAATTAAATAATGGGATTATGTATTTTTTTATTTCGAGTGTTATGAATATTTTACTTTTATATTTTGGTTATTTCAGTAAAAACTTCATGATGACTATTATTAATATTTTATCATTATAAAAAAAACTATCACATTATTATTTTCATTTTCATGTATTATTTAAATGTCAGGAAAAAATTAAATTGTGTATTCTGAAACCGAAAGAAGAGACTTTTAACATTATAGTAAATGCGCCCTTAACCGTATTATATAACAGTTGACCACCGTAGCAGAAAATGATCAATTATTCTATTGTTATAAATAAAGTAACAAAAGATTAAACCAAAAGAAATTTCAAATGGTAATTGATCCATGAATTCAACAGTATTTTTTTAATGCAAAAGAAGGTACAAAGGGGTTAAAAAGGCAAAAAATTAGTAGGAAACGAGTTCAAGATCCTGTTAGACATTTGGATTGAAGTAGTAGGGTATCAACCCTTGAGTTATTGTTCAGTATTAGAAAGCATACGTGTACACGTGTGTCAACATTCGAAACTGTTATAAGTCCTTTATGATTAAAAAAATTCAAAGCATCAAATCTCTCAGCTCCGACCCGATTCGAAAGTTTAAAATCTGAAGAATAGGATGAAGAATTTGAATTGTGCATGATCGAGCCTACCTAGATTTGCTGCCTTGTTGGATCTTATAGTTGAGGTCTGGCTGCAGGTAAAACTGACCCTTGAAAAGAATGATGAAGAGGAGAAATGAAAAAAGGAAGATGGCGATACAAAAAATAGAGAAAAGTAGTTTTTTCTTGAAGTTTAGGCCATATGAGCCTGAGGCCTACATATATTTCTGTAAGAAAACATGCGTCCATCGTATGGGACGTCTACAAGAGCAGCTTATTCCTGTATATTTTTTCGTCTTTGTCAAAAGATAAATCTTATAGGCATCGCGTTTCATGTATTTGTAGATCGTCAGGACATAGATGAGAATAAAATTTGGAATTCTAAGTAAAAATTCTAGCTATCATGGCATCATCTCGTACATGAGCTGCTGATGGTCTTCATCCATGTGATTAGAAGATGAACCTTTAGCTTCCTGTGAGTGACGGGAAGATTGAGTAGACATATACAGAACGTTTCAGAGATTCATAAATTATATGTTATTAATTTATTAAATTACTCGTGATTTCCATTAAAGCATAAATGAGCTTGAAATCATGAATTTTGGAGTAATTTTTCGAACAGATGCTATAGAAATAATTATCATGTTTTTGATTATTTGAACATAAAAAAATGAATTAAAATTCATTTCAACAAAATTTTGAATATTTTAACATAATAATACATTTTTATTCTCAATTTGAGCATTACTCAACTCATTTCCTCGAATCTCAAGATTTTTTAATAAATTTATTCCCCCTTTTTTATCAATACTTTTAACAATAAATTTATTTTTGAAAATTCATCATTTTTTATATACATCTGATATCTTTTATAATTTTATCGAAAACTTAATTAATTTCACATCATCCATAACTTTTTCTCATTTATAGAATTACTAGAGTTTGATTTAACTTTTATGAGATCCTCTGAGATAACATTTTTCATAGTTTTTACGTTAAGATAAAACTTATTTTTTATCGTTTTAATATTTCTTATCTAAATAATAAGAGTTTGCTATCATAATAAATAAATAAATAAAAAAAAAAGAAAAACAATTTCAACAAATTCCTTTGTTATAGTTATTTTTTTTTTCTCACCATGCAATTGAATTTTTCTTTAGTTACATAAAACACTATCTATGCTTTAAACATAATATTTACTTGAAAATAGTTTTTATCCAATGTACACACAACCGAGAAGAAACGATCAAATGCATTCATATATTATATTACGAGCTGTTTTTTTTATATTCGCGTTAATATTTTATTTCATTTGTGAACAGCGTTGGCATCTGTGCAGAGTGATTCATTGGTCCCACGAACGGTTTTGGAGGCTTTCAAAAAGAGAGCTCCTGTTGTAGAATTTAGAAAGAAGAGGGGAACTCGTAGGTTCTTGTGTTGATTTTTTGACTTAGGTTTCGTTCCGGCTGCAAACTACCGTTGATGATAGACGTCGTGCATCCGTGCGTGTTGGATTTTTGACTAGGCATTTTAGCTTACGTCATGGTCGACATCTTTAGCTCGATCGTTGTCAAAGAAATGGAGAAAAAATGTCATTGAGATAATGCTTATACATGATAGGTGTTGAAACGAAACTTTCATTAAAATTTCGATTTAAATCAAGTGATTATAAATGAAAATTTTTATCCTAATTAAGGTACACTTTTTGGAGCAAGAGAATGTCAGTGATTAGTCTGACATATGATTTGAAGTGATAAACATTTTTTAATGACTGTTTACACTTTCTAAGTGCTTGACATTCTTCCTTTATTATGCTTCTTCAAAATAGAATAATAATTTTAACTATGGGAAAAAATTATCTCGGTTAAAAAAATATTTTATTAAGATAATTAATAGTTAACATTTAAATATTATTTTTTGTAGCATCAGTGAGTAGGTAAAATGATAAATTTGCTGATGGATGTTTGAGAAAAATGGTTGTTTAGGTCTCAGTGATTTTTTTCTTTTTCAAAAATACACATCTTTCTTGAAGCCATTTCTCTATCTTGTGTGACTTTTTCTTTATTCATCCACTTTATTTCTATTTTTTTATTTTCAGATCTCTCATAGGTCTCTTAAGTAGTCCTTTCTCTTGACGTTACTTTTATAAAAACACTCTTTCTCAGTAGTGCACTTCTGCTCACCCCCATCTGCAACGAACAAGATTATTCTACCTTGAAATTAAAACATTTCTTTGTCATACTAAAAAGTATTTTATTTTGTACTTTTGATTTAGAATAACAAAATTGCCTTATTGTATTCTTTCGATATACTAAAAGTAGAAACTCGAAAGTTTTAAATTATAAATATAAATTTTTACATTCCAGGTACATATAAGAGTATAAAAACATATCAGGAATTCGTCCCACGTGTCATCTTGGTCTGGCATCTCTTAATGTTGCTGACCACATCGAGTAGATATCCCAATTTGTCATGAGCTAAGAAAAAGACAAGGATTGTAAATTTTTAAAATCAAAAGGTGAAACAGAATACTCCTTTGTCTCCACCGACTTTATAATTCCTTTTCCAGGAAGGAAACCATGCTTCTTAGAGAATTTTTTGTTCATTTGTTTTTATCTATGATACTCATTTTTTATTTTCATTTTCTTGCGGCGAATCACAATTTTCTCCGTTGACAATAATTTTAAAATTAATTTTTCTCTCCATTTATCTGATTACTGACTTATCAAGCGGTCATGTTTACAAGCTTGATAGGTAGTTGGACGTGACTATTGTTGTTGATTCCTCCAACGGTGCTTGTTTTATTCTCCTCACAGTGGCTTTCTTGAAGAGTTACTTTTCTCGGTGATGATTCTTCTGTTGGCTTATTGTTGACGTTGTCATGATTTTTATACACATATCTCGCTACGTAGCAGAGAAGCAACATCTCGATTACCATCAGTAAGTTGTAAGTAACTGAAATGGAGAAGGTAACATGAGAAAAGTATACGATCATATGGATAGCTATATGACCTCAACCTTACTAATTAACTTGACTCTTATAGTTTCTATCATTACATCTCACCTTTTTATCAATTTCGTGAGATATTTTAGTGTTAGTGATCTGAAAGTTACTCACAATTTGCATAGAGTTGCGGTGTGATTGGTGGATTGCATGGAAAGAGACCCGTTGCTGGTAAAATTTTAATTATGAATCCTTGAAGCTTCGAAAAACAAAGTACTAATTGAGTCACCAGGGCTTTTAGTTGTAATTTTGCTTCTGCAATCATTAAAGTATTTGTCAATTCTTTTTGCATAAAAAATTGTGCAGTGATAAGTATATAAAAGTTGATATAATATAGACACTTTCTTGTTTCTATAAAAACTACTAATTTTAAAAGTTACTTGATATTCTGAGGACTTAATGTTATGTCAAGGAAAACTTATTAGACTAATACTATTTAAGATGCTTAAAAATATCACAGAGAAAACCTGCATTATGGATTTATGAAAAAGAAATCAGTTTTACTTATACAGTTAATTTTTTTATGTAAATTCAATCTATATTCTACATTAAAAAAATCATGATTTTTAGATTTGAAATAATTTTAAAACATTTAAAAATTCTTCTAGTCTACTACAAACAGTCTAGTCATAATGTTGAGAGTATTATCGGAGCGGCTAGACTTCATCGTTTTCTGTAAGAGTCTAATAACTGCAGAAATACTAGACTGTCTAGCAATAAAGTAATGCCGTAAACTTTCATACGATACTTGACTAGACAAGTTGAAAATTTTAATTGTTTTCTTATCGTCTGATATGAAAATATGGTATATTTTTCATTGTTTATTTAGTTCAGAAGTCAGATTATAAAATAAAATAATACAAAACCCAATTAGCTCTTGCAGTAAAAATTTTCTTTTTAAAACATGCAAAAACATAGTTAAGTGCTTCCGTCTTGAACTTCAATTTCACTTACTTATCTAATTATTCAACTAAATCTCATAACAAATGAAGTAAATGATAAATATAGAAATATTGCAATTAGTATTTCTTATAAATTATTGTAGTTCTCAAAATATCGTGTCTAGACTTCTTATCGTTTATTCTTTTACGATTTTATTGGTTTCCTGATATGAATGTTCCTGTCTATACAAATAATAAATATAGAAGAAAATTACTTTTCATAACCCACGTGATAACTATCACTATTTTAAAATGATAATTGTAATATTGTAATGATGAAGGAAAATTAAAAACGCAAAAATAATGTGTCTAGAAGAGATAAAAATTTAAAAGAAATAAAATTTGCAAGTCGTTGGACTAATCGCAATTTATGGAATTGCAGTAAACAAAAGATTAAAATAAAATCGAAAGGTTAAGTTGGAGAATATAGGGCATTAAGATAGTATTACAGTACCTGGATACACCTGTTTCATGGTCATAACTGCAATGTTAAGCCCATAAAGGGCGAAAAGGATACTGGTAATGCATAAAGGTTGCAGAAACACATTATAACTTGTATAGAAAACTGGATCTTCAATATACATAGTAAGTAGGATAATGTAAAGGATCCCCTGCAATAAAACAATTATGTTTTGGATCCTAATCATGGTCAAATAGTGTCATAACATTGTGGGCAAACAATAATGGGACGTCTAATTGTCTTTACTGTGGTCATGATAATATATACATACAATAAACTTAGGATAGGTCTAGGTTCAGATGGTCGATTATACCTGAATAATAGGGAATTGAAAGACAATTATTTGTAGCCAGGACAAATTGGCATCGTTGAGTTGGAGGCTGGGAAACGGTAATCCTGGCCAACAACAGCATGGCCCCACGTTCAGTAACATTGTCGTCGTCTCCGTGACCTTTTTCTTGCTGATTTCGATGATCACCCGATATAATCGATACATCGATATACTTAAAGTAATTTGAGTAATTGCTTCAGACAATAATTGGGCTCTGCAAACAAAAGTCTTGTTATAATTTTATTCCTTGCAAAATTACACATTATTAAATTATTTATCATTCTTGATCGAATTATTGCTTTTTAGTTGGATAATTATTATGTCTTTAAAAAATGCTGTTGCAAGTTATAAATAATATTTCATAACAAAAAAAACTCTGTTGATTGTTCTCTCCGTAAATTTATCATTTCAAGTTTTACAATAATTAGATATTGGCTAACTATAATGTATTTCAAGCATACGATTTACAGTTTTGGCATTTTTTAAATGGCTTTACTTCTTTTTTTTTTATAAAAATATCGTTTAAACAAATTATCGAATAACAATAAAAATACTTAAATTTTTCGCATTGACTTATGCGTAAACTGCATTCTTGTAATTTCGTTTAAACGAAATGCAACGTAACAAAGTGGATACTCCTGAATAGGTAAAATTTTTGTTGGATTGTTGAGATTTTTTAGCTATCAACTATTGGTTAATCGCATCAAACTTCGTACTCTAACATATGCTATTCGTGTTTCATCCATCTAGAATCGAGATCCAGCTTTCAATATGTTTCCTGACTCATCAAAATTCGACTTTTTTTGACAGAATACAGCTGTCTAAATCTCATCATTATTTTCCAATTTTCGAAAAACGAGTAATTGTTCAATCCCTAACTTTAATGAATTTCGAAATTTTCCCCATTCAAATACATAGAAATTAAAGTCTTTATCACACTTGGTTTAAAAAAATCTATTCTTGAAATCGAATTACTGTTGTACATGATAATTTATTCGTCGTTTAGGCCTTCGTAGTAAAATATCAATTAATTTATCAGTAACAGATCACAATGAGAATTGAATGTAAAGAATCCAAAATATCAGAAATAACTGAAATAATTTATTCAGCTTTTTTTTTTTTAAAAAAAAAGTAATTTTTTCAAGATGTTTATTAGAATCTATGATAAGGATTATATTTATGAGAGTTAGAAAAAATATAGCTTTTTTCTAATTTGTGCGGGTAATTTATATAATTCTTGAAATTTCGTAGAAGTGAATGTAACTGTCATTTGATTCATTTCATGATTCGGAAAATAGTAGACAGGCCCACCAGGCGACACGCACTAAATTTTAGCATTAGTAGAGGAAGCTTGTCGTCTTGGCCTCCAATTTGATCGAGATACGAATCAGAGGGAACCGAAACTTACAAAAAATACCTTGGAGACATTAAAAGTTGAACGAAAGATATATTTGAATTGACTTTGGGAATTGTTTTACAAAAAACTCCACAAATGCAAGATCTGATCTTTGAGGGTAATCTACGTAATCTAACTAACATCAGTGGGGGAACTTGAAGTTCTTTCTTTTTTATTCATTTTACTTCATCTCTCTCTTTTGTTCTTTAGAAAGAAACCGGTTTAGTATAATAGAGACACTGGCGACAATAATAAGTGTATATACCTGGGCCAATTTTCTCATTTTTTTAAAGCCTTACCAGCGTCATTAAATCGTATTTTTTAAGAGCTCAAAAAATTTTTTTCTGCGAAATAAAATTTCGGAAAGCTAAATTTAATAGCTAAGTGATTGGAGGAACATCATTGAGATGGTGTTATAAAATTGATCGTTAAAAAAATAGCATTTTCCGTTTTTTTTATGATGTTCAAAAAGTCAAAAGTTTAACAGAAAAATATAAAGTTTTCAAAGGTATATTTTTTAATGATACAATCATTTCTACGGTGCAATAAAATTGTTTTGAAACTTACTTTTCTTCTGAATTGTAACAAATATAAAATAAAATGATTTCCGCAGAAGGTTTGCTTTTTAGATTGTAAAAAATTATTTTATTAATTTATTCACTAAATGAATATGTGAAAGTGTAAAAAGATAAAAGTGAACGATAATTTTGCTAATTAATCGTATTTGTTATTCAAAAAGTACTCTTTTACATACAATTAAAGGTTTTTTTTTTTTGAAGCCGGAGATTTTTTAGAATTTTTTCAAGAAAACATTTCTCTTTCTCAGATTATTTTTTTAAATGTTTAATAAATTAACAATATAATTCATATTATTAGCATAATTAAAAATTACAAATCAATTCTTGTAAAACTACATATTAAAAAATAGCAATGAAGTGTAAATCTGTTTTATTCCATTAAAGATAAATAAAACGATCTGAAAGTTTACTTTACATTGTCTTTGATGATTTCAAAATATCCATCAAGGTAAAGTTGAGCGATAAAATGACTGTCAATACGTGGAGATCGTAGTAAAATCGATCGTTAAGAAAATAAAATAATCTAGTTGACGTTATCTAATCGACGAGTCAAGGCATAAGTTGATCCAAAGATCAGTGGAACGAGATCATTAGCTACTCAGAACGACTTATTTTTTTTTCCATCCTTGTAGTTCATTAAAAGTGATCCCTAACGAGGGATCTACCCTACTCTATAGAAACAAAACCAAGCTCTCACGGTCTTCTTTTATAATGCCTAGTCGACCAAATGCTTCCAAATAATTATCTGGTTAGTAATTGTAGTGTCATCCTGTTGACATCTTCTGATCCATCTTATGAGGGAAATAAAACCAAGTCTTCACATTTTTAAGTTTGAAAAGTAAAGAAAGCGATAGTTCACCTTGGTATTGAAAGAGCAATAAGACTACAGGTGCTGGCAATTGGATAAACCCATAATATGATGAAGATACTTTTTTTGTAGAATTTTGTTTCTTGTTGGAGGAATATGTGGTATGATGCATCTGCTGCCAGTGCTATTGTTGCTACAGTTAAAATAGTTCCAATGCTCACAAATGTTGCTCCAAAAGCACCCAATTCTGTAAATTTTTCAGCACTATTAATTTTCTGATATTAGCTTACTTTTTATAAAATTAAAGTAGAGTTTTCTTAATTTTCTTTCTTTTAGTTGATTATTGATGAGAGAATTTTCAATAACATCCATTTTTCTACGAGAATGTACCTTTTATGTTTAAGTTAGTTTACAAAAATATCGTCTATTTTTATATATTCTAAATGGAACCATTTAACCCCAATGCACTAATGTTGGTTCTTTCAACTAATATCATGCACATTTCACCCTATTTTCTCGCTAACTTGAGTCAAAGGGACTTTTTTTACCCAACATATTAGGGATTTAAAATCTTTTTCAATGAAAAATTGTATTTTTTGAAATAAGATAAGTAGAAGAATTTTAGAAAATTTAAATAATTTATAAATTTTTAAAAATAGACAACTACTAGATATTTAAAAAGATTGTAAATTCTAATAATGAATAAAATTTCTTAATAATTTTATTATAAAGTCAGTTTCGAAAGAATTTCGTTAACAAATTATGATAGTAAGTTGTAATTAATTTTAACTGATATTAATCTAATGAGGAGTTTTTGTTTTTCCAATATAAATACATTGTAACTTTGTTAGAATTGTGGAGATAATACGCTCGTGTTTCGTCATATAATTCTGAGTAGCGAGAGAGTTTAAACTTTCACTACTTTACGGAGAGTTACACAAGTGCATGCGTTACAATTTTTACAAAATAGAAAGGAATTAACTTAATTTGATAAGATATGTATGTTTTCAAAAAATATAGTTTTTTCATGTTATTTGACTTGTTATTTACTAATTAAGAAAAAAATAACAAACATTTATTTTCTCATTTGCAAGAACACATTCATGATCATTCATACACACTTTTCATTTATTTATGAACTCGATTACAGGAATTGACTGTTCTGGAATATTGTCAGAACAATATTTAATTTAATATGTTTTCTAAATACTCTATAAAATCATATTTAGTTATTGCCTTTTAGTTCTAATTTGATAAAGATTATTTCAAAATTTGCGATAATACTATAAAATATTTACCAACTGAACATTATTTAATGGCTTAATTTTAAATAATTTGAAAAAGAAACAATCTATATATGTTTCAAAGAAAACTTCTTATTTACATAACTAACAAAGTTGAACTTTTTTAATTGATCAATTACTTACTATTTATAAATTCTGCAGCAGGAGGTATTACCCTTTCATCACAGGATATGTTTAAATAATTATAATTTGGTACATCTTCGGGCACACTGAAGTAATAATCCATGTTTCGTGCCAATAATAATCTAAGCTATACTACACTGTATTTAAAAAATTCCAATTTAAGTTAAATCTTATGGAGAGAAAAGAGCAAGGTGCTCACACTGAGACATAGAAAGAGTGGTTGACTTCTGTTAATAATAAAGTGAGAGTACATAGTCCCCACTTTTACTTTTGCTCCATGGAGAGTACTTCTTGACTGATTTATACCATCACTACTCTGAAAAAGAGTTAAACCTTCAATTTTATCAGCTGATAATCCATTAGTGGTATTTTTCTATTGATTAATTTATAAAAATTGGTTATTTTATGATATATTGTGTTAATAAATGTGTAAAAGAAAAAAAAAACTTTTTTATATTATTTTTTAAATAGTGAATTAATGCTAATAAAATAATAGAGAGAAAATCTCCGAATATAGCGAAAGAACAGTTGAGAAAAAATGTAATTTCTGTTCTTGAAATTTGCTACTCGTAGATCCGAAAAATATTGATTTGGAGTTAAGTTAATGCTAAGAGAATCAATCAAACTAGTTTTAATTAAAAACACGAAACGTTGCAAAATAAAATAAAGGAAGGTAAAATTAAACTATTTCAAAACAAAAATATTCAATTAATGAGAAGTGTTATTAAATTTAATTACTAAAGCAAGGTTCAGGATTCAAAAGTCGTTGTAAAAATCCAGTTATTATAGTAACCTACCATTTCCACTGTTGGTTTCTATTTACAAATCAACTGTCGGTTTGATAAAAATTCTCAAGGGAAATTTCTTCTTGTACTTTAGATGAAAAAACATCTTAATTCGAATTCTATTCAAATAATGATAAATTCTTTCATTAAACAACATTGCTTTTCTCTTTGATTTATTTCAATTAAATAAAATTATCTTTACACTGATTTAAATGAAAAAAGTATTAGTAAGAGTCATTATTTCAATCACAATTTCAATTAAATTCCATAAAATAAATCAACGTTGAAAAGATCAAAGACATTTGACCTTATTCTCCAATGTCGTCGGTTAAACTTTCCTTTTTCTTGAACTTGAAAAAACTTGGGAGATGTCTTGGTACGATTTACTGATGCTGAAAGCGAATTTCTAGCGTGCTGAATCCTGGATGTTGTTAACGACTACATTGAACCTATAAATAAATAAATAAAATCATTAAAGAAACGATAGAACCGATCGTATTGATATGGTGGAGGGTATAAATGCTAGTACATGGGGAGAATCATTACCGGGGAAGATAGAGAGAGTTTGAAAGTAGGCCTCAGTCGTTCAGTCAGTTGTTGACTACGTCTCCAGACGATTGAACAGAGTGATGGTGAGTTTAAATTTTTGTTTTACATTCCTACACGTTTTTTCAATCCTTTCACAAAAACTCTTCATTTACTCTTCAAAAATACTAAATCACATTAATCATCAAGTTATTCTATAAAATTCAATTTGTTTATTAAAAAATTATTTTATAAATAATTTATACGTTAATCAAATAATATCCGGAAGTATATAGGTCAGTTTGATAATATTTTTTTAATCAATGGTATTGTTTGCAAAGTGGAATTGGTGAGTTAAATAGAATAAATCAATGGTATTTTAAATCGGCTTATGTGATTGGAAACGTCAAAAGTATATTGATTGGTGTGTACACATAATAATTTTCATCGTAGAGATATCGTGTATGAGACACCGCGTTGAACTTTCTCGTTCAATCGGCTAGTCAAGGACCTCACTGATGTCCATTTAACTGAACTGTGTTCATGAATATATGAATATTAATTTGGTATTGCGTACTTTTATTTTTAAGTCAATAATAATGTTGTTAAAGTTCAAAAATTATTCTTATTCTCCTTTGCAAAAGAGACAAATTTATTAAGATTGCAACTCTTACATCAACATATAATTATGTTTATGAAAAAAACCGTGTAATCCGTTAAAATTAACTGTTTATAACATTAGTCTTTTCCACTATAAATTTACTTTACTTATATGGAATGTGAAAATTACTTTAAAGGCACTAAAAATTACAAGTACATGCTAACAACTATTTCATGACAAAAATATTAACAAAAAAAATGATTTTATTAAATATATTTCTTAATAAGTTTTCTTCTTTACTAAATAAAACAATGTTATTTGTAATTTTTTAACATCTAAATAAATTGGCAAGTTGATTGACTAAAAATGAAATTAACAAATTTATGTAACTTGGAAGAAATAATGATTACAATCTCCAGTAAGATTATTTACTGCTGATTTATTTAATATTTTTTCAAATTATTCTTTATTACTTACAATTTGATTGATACAACAGCATTATTATTAATTACATAAAGAAGCATTCTCAATACTAATTTTCAATTGAGGATTAATTCTGAATTAACAATTAATTTAAAAGTATATATTTGAAAAGCTAACACATTCATCAATCATGAATAATAATAGAAGAATCAATAAACCAATCATTTTTACTATGAATAACAATTTATATAACAATCATTTATTACAGATCATTCTACTACTGCTAATGACCATTTGCGGTCTTGGTCACTGCTTAGACCAGCTTCCAACCCAACAAGAAATCCAGTCATCAATAAACCGAACCATCAGTGAAGTCGAAAGATTGATGAAAGTAAATACAAGTCTCCCCCAGCTGTCTCGTAGTCAAATAGTTGATATTCTCTACAACATCACATCCAAAGAAGTGGAATCCCTAGAAGAATCTGTAGAAAAAGCACGATCTGACTACCAAAGGGCTCTCATGGTAGTACTTCCTTATAATTCAAGAGATGCTAAAAATGAAGATATCAAGGATTTGTTCACAAAACCTCCAATGATTCAAATGATTCCAGATACCGAGACCATGTTACCTTTTGCTTCAATTCAAGCTGAACAATCTCCCACAGAAGGATTGATAGATAATTTAATCAATGTTAAATACTCTTCAGAAATTAATGATGAATTATCAAGCTTAGAAGATGATTCAGACAATTATAAAATCCATTTATCTGATGGAGAATATGATACAAAGCCAGAAAAATTTAGTTTCGTGCTGGGGAAATTAGAAGATCTAAAATCAGCTACTGATTTACCTTTTCAAGACCATCCCATTAACATTCTAAATAATCAAAATAACAGCACAATTGAAGTAAAACCAACTTTGGATGTATTTTATAGCAAAGTCATGACTGAAAAACCCACAGAAAAAATAATGGAAATTACATTAAATCCAATTGAGGACACTAAGCCAACGGTTCCTTCTACAAAGTCAACAAATATTTTGACTTTCGACCAATGGAAATATTTCGCACCTCCAGCTACTCTGAGCACTCCTACAACTAAAAAGCCTGTGATAAAAACGACCACAAAGCAATCAACATCTACAATAAAATCGGCAAAGCCTTTAGGAATTGTTAATAAGCCTCAGCCATTCATTCCAACAGTTTTTTCGACGAATTCTGATGATACAATATTATTGACGCCTTCACCATCCATAAAACCAACGAAAGAAACACCTCCTGAAAAACCTGAATTCTCAAGTTTTGATATGGCAGATTATGGAATGATGAATGATGAGCCTACAGGACCGATTTTTGTAACTCCAATGCCTTCAGAAATTTATCCAGAAGATTCTGCTGCTTTACCTTCTCTAACTACTTTGATTTCAGTTAAACCAGAGTATAAACAAGAAATTAATAAAAGTAAAGAATCTGTAAACCCAAAGCACAAAGAAACTCTTCTAGAATCGCTAGGAATAGATTCAAAGAAAAATAAATTATTTATTGATTCAGAAAAAATAAATCTAACTAATCATAATGATTTAATTTCATTAAATTCACAAGTTCCAGAAAATAATAATTCACCTAATTCGTTTTCAAAATTAGCTGCTACTGGGTTTGATAATTCTCAAATAAATCTTAAAGAAGGTTTAAGTAATTTAACGCCTGATATTCGATTGCTCTTTCAACGATTTGGACTTCAAACTCCAGATAAAAATAAATCAATAGAAAGTCATGAATCAACCACGACTAAAAACCCGGTTCAATCAATTGTTAAAAATTCTTGGAGTGGTTTCAAGCCACTTCCTCGTTCACAAATTCGTGATGAAGGTATGAGAAGCTTTTTAGCACAATTCGGTCTCGGTATTGATAATAGAAGAGAGAAATCTATTAGACATGATGATTCATTTAAAAGGCAATCAATCATCGATTTTGTACCTGTAGGAATGAAAAGTATTCTTGAGAATATTGGACTCATTGGCAAGCCTCGAGAAACTACAAAAAAATTAAACTCCAGAATAGACATTAACAATGTAAATAACAATATACCCAGTTCTCAAAGTATTATAAATAATAATATCAATAGCAGTGATACTAATAAGAGTAAGAATAATTATAAACGTAGGAGTGACAATATCAGTAATCATAGCATAACACTGCCTCCTATATCGAATCAAGTATCAACCAATCACATTTTTAAACCTCATGAAACCCAGATTAGTGATCAAAAACAAAGAGAAAAAATAAATGAGCTTCTGGATACAGTTAAATTAGTTCAAGAGGGAAAAGCACAAGTTTCTGATGTTCGTCGAGTTGCAAATGATCTCCTAGAGGCTGCGAAAACACTCAAGGGAGGTCCAGATCTACTGAGTTTAGAAGAGATTATAAAGATTTATCATGATGATCTCAAGAATGAGGTCAAGAGACAGAACAAGGCTGATGCTGATGAAGATAAGAAAAATGGTAATTATTCTTTATTTATATTGATTGATAAAAAACGCATGGAATAACTTTTTTTTACATTAAAAACTAACAGCTTTACTAATGGCAAAATATTAACATAGATAATTTATTTTAAGTTTTTCTTTAAGATACTTCAAAACATGTTATACAATAATGGATTGTGTCATAAGAAATGTTTCTTTAAATATTTTATCCATTAAAAGAAGAGTTTTTTTTTGAGAATGGTATGAAAAAAGAGTATTAATGATTGATAAAACAAGGTTGTTAATTTAAGGTTTAGATTATTTCCGTATGATGCAATAATCAACCTCGTTTGAAGTTCAAATGTTTCCGTTCTCCTTAAGAAAATTAATTCTGAGATTGGGCAAAATATAAGAAATATCTTAAGGCAATATTTATTGCAATATAATTTAACATTAGCATGCTATATTATTTAATTCAACTAATTTGAACTTTTTTTCTAGTTTTGTTGCTCATGAGTGTATGTAATAACATTTAGTGATTCTAAGAGAAATTTCCGGTATCAATTATTAATTGATAATTATTTATCAACATACTCATAAACAAAAAAACAACATCAAATCGAACGATTTATCAGCAATTATAACTTTTATTTATTGTTTTCTAATCAAGAAAAATGAAAAATATTTCCTTTTGCTGTTTGGAAACTGGGTTATTTTTTCTTTAATATACTTCTTATTTACTCAGTGAAGGTTCTAGACATGTGATGGCTCATTGCATCATATATAAAACTTTCATGCACTGTTCTACATCACAAATCATTTGACATACCGTATGTCAGACGGAACTTGCATGTCTAACTATTGAATGATAGTGTACGACAACTTAATGGCTTGCTTATTATTTTACGAATGTTAAATGCACAAGAAAATAACAGTCATTCACCCGGGACATGATTTCAGGAAAAGTATACACTTAAAAAAAAAAAATTTTATCTTTATCTCACATGTTATTTATACATAAATATAGATGAGAAAGTTGGCAGATTTTTCATTGAATAAATGTCTTCAGGTTCCTTGGCATCGTCAGTGACGACGGCGGATGTAACAACATTGGAAACGTCAATGGATGATACTTTCTCTTCAACAAATATACCAAATACTGTCAATCAAACATCAAATTTGAAAATAACAGATTCGGATGCAGTGGAAACTCACACTGATACTGACATCAAATCAATTGATACAGACACCACCACAACGGAATCTTCTTTGTCAACAGAAGATACAAATATAAGTGATCTAGCCGACTCATTTGGCGGTAGTACTGCAGAGCCGGACCCTGCACTACCAGCACCTAGAAAATCTGGTCTCTACTTTCTTCTCGATTGGAATTCATTCTTGGAGGTTGGCGAAGAAGGAAAAGACCGAGTGAATTTGAGGCTTGCTCCGAAAGTTGGTGATAGATCGAGGTTTATTCCAGTTGTTATTCCTTAAATGATGACAAATTATAGTTTAGTTTTTTAAATATTTTATTTATAATTGATAGTTATTTAAATAAGTGCCTGTTATTTAACTGAATTAAATAAATGATTATTAATTTTTTTGAAAAAATGTTTCATAACTTTAATTTATATAAATTTATCATAATTTTATTTAATTTTTATCCAAACTTTTTAACGTTTTTTGTTTTGTTGATTTATTTTAAATATACTAACTTTTTCTTTTTTAATTATTTATATTTAAAAAGTAAAATTGGGTTGTATTTTATTATTGATTAACACAAATTTTAGAATTGATCGATACTTACAAAAAACTAAATCGAAGTTCTAAAAGTTCCACATGGAGTAGCTTTAAATAAGAATTTGATTGGAATATTTGGACTCGTATGGGATGATTAGAGAATTTATCTTCATCATAGTCATTATTTTCTAATGTTTTAATTACTTCAATTGTGCATTAAAATTAATTGCAAGTGAATATGATTAAAAACTCCCTATTCAGATTGAATTAAATGCAAAACTATATTTAATACGTAAAAAAGTGTTGATTAAATAAATATAAAATTCCATCATCATTCACTTTAATTGAAGAAATGAAGTCATTAATTTCATAAATATTTATGCTAAAAGATTTCTAAAAAATTAACCGATAAGATGCATTGAATTTGCCGTTTAGCATCGCATCACAGTTCGATCAATTGAATCGTGCGCACGAGAATTGAATGAGCAGCGCGTCTCCTTGACGACGCAGTCCGTCAGCTTGACGGACACGCGCAGAACGTAGATGAGACAAACCCGGTTTCTCCATTCTCGTTTTCGTCTAGTTTGTAGGAAGACTTTTCTCGGGATTTCTCGCGTGCGCGCACTCTTTTTATTATTATTAGAACTCAACCGGCGTTTGTTTTAACTCACGACGTATATACGTCCTTCTACCAACACATGTTTACTGTCTACGATTGACAATACGAACGATGATTATCATATTTGCATCCTCATACTTGATGTCATTCAAGTAACACAACAGAGTAAAGTTTTATTTTGAAGAAACATGTGCCCGGTCGGAACCTATTGATCTGCAACTAGTTCACTATACAGGGGAATTTGACACTCGCCGGCCGGTTTTTAAGTAAGTTGACTTTTTATCACTTGATAAAAAATAACCACTTTTATGCAAATTAACTGATTGACCACAGATAATAAAAGTTACTTTTTATCAAGGAAAATATCATAGTACTTCAACAATATAAATTTTTTGCATAAAATACATTAATGAGATTTTAAAATAGGTTTGAAAATTCAACGAAGTAAAAAAAAATATCAAAAGTATTATAAGTGAAAGAAAAAAGTATTGTATATAAAATAAAAATGCATTTCCAATGATATGGATCATTTATTCCAACGAGCAAGATAACAATCCATGTAAATATATTATATAGTGAATAAAATTGAAAGAGGTTATTAGATGTTTTTTAAGTTTAAAATCGACCTCAAGTATAATATAATAGAAAACAAAGAAAGAATATTTTATCAAGTAGTATTGATTGTTTTAAGAAGATTTTAAGAGCAATTTAAATACATTTGTTCAAACTCCTTGTCAGGGAATATAAAAGAGATTAAAATCTTTTTCAATATAAAGAGAAAAAAAAAATAGTCATGAAAAGCTAAAAAGAGCAAGCAAAGGTGAAAGACCGATAAAACTTTTCTAAAACAATAGAAAAAAATTGAGAAGCTATTAAAAAATTATTTAAATTTAAAGTCCTATGATATTGATCGTATACGAGCATTATTGTAAAGTTAGACACCTTTCTTTCTGAATTTTTTCAACAGAAATGACGAGTAGCAGTAGATTCTTTGATGAGAAAGCTTTCTGTGATGAATGATGATGTAGTGAAAGATGTAATGTTACTATTGTAAACTATTGTTAAGAACAATGTCATACTTACAAAAATTGTGATAGGTACATATGCATAACAAGTAAGAGAGACACTATTCACCAAACGAATACAGACTTTGATAGAAAATAGACCTTGTTGCATCTCTGTTCCGCCTTTCTCCACTTCCGAGTATACTAACGACTGGAATTGAATCATTTCCCAATTAACTCGACCGCACCTGTATCTCTTTCGATGTCTAATCAATTTTTCAAGAACTAAGAAATAATCTAAACAAGCTAGGGGATAAATAATTAAAGTCTTAATTAGGTTATTCCAGTCCAGTGATAGTATCATTTTACAAAAGTAAATCAATCGTGAAACTTTTAAGCTTGGTAGGTTTCAACTGAATAACGATTTTTTTTTTGAATTTTGCGATAAGACAAAAATGTAATTAAATTCATTTTTATATTTGCAACATTGAATGATTTGTTAATAGCTGACTGGAGTTATTTAATTGAAACGATTATTTATTGGTAGTATGGAATGTTTTTTCTAATCATTTTGTGAATTTTAATCATATCTTACATACCATTAGATTGATGATGTTTCATGTAAGTTAGATAAAGTAAGCTAAATGAATGTTTTAAAAGTAAAACGATTTGTTTAAAACTTTCCAAAAGTATTTATTCAAAATTAATGAGTTTCTTAATACAAATAACATGTGCATTTGGCGTAAAAAAGATAACTCAAGAATTTATGGATTTTTATTTAATTTCACTCTATTAGCTCTTAAATAACTGTAATATTGATTTTCTTAGTTTAAATAAAAACAAAACAGGAGAATAAACTGAAATAGAAAATTGATTCATAATAAGGTAAATATTGATTTTGGAAAGTTAACTCGGTAATGTTGTACAACAAAACATACTGGAATAACTTTTTTTTGTATTTCTAGTTACTTTTACTTAAAATAACTATGTAGATGTTAGCAAGGTTAAGGTTAAGAATAGCTAATTCTACTTAGCATATTTTACATAATTGTAAGTCAGACTGAAGTGAAAACTAAAACTTCATGGATACTGTTTTCAATATGATGATAAATCATCTTATAGATTTTTTACTTAATGTTTATTATTTAGTTATTATATAATAATACACAAAATATTTATCAACGATGGCCTTTAATTTTTTAATCAAATTGAAATACAAAATCTTCATACTTTCATTCAAGTTATGGAAATTTATTAGTTCTAAAATTTATATTCAAGATCTAAATCTTAATTAAACAAAAAAAAACCTACAACACTTTCAACAAATTATTATTGAATATTTATATTGTATTAGAAACTAAAAGCTGATAATCCGTGAAACTATTAGAATTACAGATCAATCAAAAAATTTCCATGACATATTTAGTATTTGAACTTTATAGTAGTTTGTACAATTTGCTAAAATATTGATGAATTTTCATTTATTAGGTTGCCTCTAACTAGAATTTATGTTAAAATCTACAGAAATACATCAAATTAAAAATTGTGTCATAGAGTAGTATTCATAATAAATTTTAATTTAATATAAACCAAGAATTCTACAGTAAACCATTATGAATGTCAACTTAATATTTATTTTATCTTTTATGTTTATCAAGCTAAGAAAAATCACGATATGCATGAATAAAAATGAAGTATAAAACTGTAAAAAAAAAGCCTGAGGTATGTTTCTATAGAAATATGCACTTTCAAGGTGATACAGTATTTTCTCTGACATTATATCAAAACCATTGTGAGTGATAAACCTAAATGCAATAGAAAATGGTTTTGTTATAAAGTAAAATGACAAAAAACGAAGAATTGCAAGAGAACGTATGCGGCATTTGTAAATGTCAGTACCTTCCTACATGGATTCCAATAGTTAGTAACGTTGAATCGTGTTTATTGTACTGAATTACATGAGGAAGTGAATAGATCACTCTCATTTGTTTCATGGTATATAAAAAGTACAGCTATATGTGTATAATTAAATAGATGTAGATTGAAGCTGTTCATAATATGATAATTTGATAAAAGTAATCTATTTGTTAATTCATGTGAGATCGAGTAGCGGGATTCAGACGTTCCAGATGTATAATCCAAGTGCACGGGCACGTTCTGCGAGTCTGCAGTCGATTCCAAAATAGTTTCCCCAAGAAATAAGAGAGCAAGATGTAGTGAGAAGTGAATTTAATACGATATACTGCCTATGTTTCCTTTTGATTCCTATTTCTCTGTTTAGTTGTCGTTGTTTTTTCTTATTTGTTTCTTCTTTGAATTTATTTATAAAAATATATACCTAATTATATTCCTTTCTAATTTGTCTAGAATTGTAACAGACACGTATCTTGAACATTCATTCATTCATTTTTAGATCACAGTTTATAAATTAACTCAGAGATGTTCAAGATACACGTCAATTGGCTTAAGAGAGCCGATGAAACTGATATCCCAACGTCTCGCTAGAGTAACGACCTTAACATGTGGACTATCGCTTTCTCGCAGCTGTCAGCTGCTTATTCGTAGATCAGAGGGGCAACTAGATTCAATGGGTACCGACTTTATATGATTATCAATTCCATTTGTTGACACCTATGATACGTGTCTTTGATAAGGTATTTTTGTAATTCATTACGAAAAACACAAATTCATGTTTTTTAGTTTTATTTTGTAATTTTATAGAAATTCATGTAAACATCTATTTATCAATGTCTTACTAAAATCAATATTTACATATATACTTCGTATATGTGTAAAAAGAAATGGATAACTCATAATTTCTATTTACTTATCAGTATCTAGAAAATTCAATTTATCGTTGTTCTTTGGAGCTTGAAGCTAGAATAAATCATTCGAGATTAGAATAAAATTTGCAATAAAATGAATACTTTTATAAGATTTTTTATTTGATGTTTTTTAATAATATCAGAGCAATATACAGTATAATGATGGTTTAAATAGATTTTAAATGAAAGTTCATAAATAATTATATTGATTCAATCATTGATTTATATGCCAATGAAAATTTCATTTTATTATATATAAAGAAGATTTGAGTTTATCAGTTGTTCTTCTCATGAGTTCCTTTCGTGGTTATTGAGACGGAAAGGTTCTATAACTATTCCACATGAAGAACTTGTTGCTCTTTTAACT